TACCTCACTGCAACAACCTCCATTCTGCACAAAGAGCAGAAAGAAGTCGATGACTTCCCTCATGATCATTGACACTGACCCAGATCCTAAACATTTGATCAGACACTTATTCAGTGTAAATTCTCAGGCAGCAGCAGCAGCAGCAACAGACAACTTTATGTCTTTGACAAATGAGGTAATCCTTCATGTTTGTGACTGATAATAATATTCACAAAATAACACTGAACAAGACTGAAGGGATCTGAAATGATTTGGATGGGTATCGTTAGTGTTTTATCTTTATCTGATCCATATCCTTATTGATCCAGCTCATACTGTTACTGGTTCTTTATCAAAAAAATTTTTTTTTTTAAATCATAATTTTTTTTAATTAATTCAAAAACTATTTGAAATGATTGGACTGGCAGAAAGCTTTCTTATTAGTTTTTCACCACTCTTCGCTATTTGCTGAATCGCCGAGAGACTTCAGACAAAACAGAACAAAATCTCTCTTTGGCCACTTTGAGGGGAAACAAATGAAATTACGAGAAAACAGTTGTATCATGATAATCATAATATTTAAAGAAAAAATGTCATAGTTTTACAAGAAAAGGGTCATAATATTATGAGAATAAAGTGGTAAGGTTACATGTTTTAGAGGGGAATTATCAGACGCTTTAAAATGAGGAACGTGGAGCCTGTGAAATCCTGCTTCAGTAGGTTTCACAATAATTATTGGTAGCTTGTAATATTCCTAAAAATTATGTTTAATCTCTTGAAATTTTACATTTTTAATTCTCATTAAATTAAGACGTTATTCTCGAAAGTTAAGATTTTTTTTCTCCTCAAAGTGGCCCCTAATACTCCGTCCTACAATAAAAAGTAAAAGGCCAATAAGAACTTCATCAAAACACGTTCAACAAAAACCAAACAGAAAAGAGAGATTTTGCTCTATTTTGTCTGAAGTCTCTCGGAGTCTTTATGAGAAGCTGAAACGAAAGCTTTCTGTGTATCTGATTATCGCGGCTGGACACAGAAGCACCATGAGGGGAAAAAAGAAATTAATTATAAGAATAAAATCATATTTCACGAAAAAAATAAAACTCACAATGTTACGAGATTGAAGTGGTAATTTTAGGTTACATGTCGTTTTAGAGGGAAAATATCAGAAGCTTTAAACTGAGGTGAAGGTGAACAGGTTATAGTCGCATGAACATGGTGACAGGGTGAGATCAGAGCTAAAATGGAGGCAAGTCTAAAAGGCTGACTCATGCATGGAAATGGAAATGATGGTTTTAAGTACGTACCAGTATCATCAAACATCACCCGCCATGACAGCAACAGGACCGGAAGCAGAAAGGGTGAACAGGTGCGTTATATAACCTTTCAGGGGAGGAGTCAGGCCTGGGGATGCGTTCACTGACACTACACGTGATATTATATTCACCTACACTATGAGGACATTTCCTACTAAATTATACAGTACACTCCCGGGTATTAATTACGGTGGCCCTGAGAGCTCAACACATGCAGTTAGATGCCGTTGTGTTGTGAGTATTTGCAGCACGTGTGTTGTCAAATTGATTAATTATTTATCTATTTATTTTCTGAATGTTATTTGTGTGTTTTCTCTATTTGCATGTATTGAGCTCTTAGGGCCACCGTAGTAAATACCCACACAGGCCATGTGCCAGGTGTAAGTAGCATTGTTGGCCGGGGACACACCTGGGGTGCAAATAGCATCTGCCAAAAAATATTTACTTTTATTTGCTTACTTTTATTATATTTACGGTCACTTCATGAAAAGTCTGTTTTCCCCCTAGAAAACTTTACAATACGGAGCTCACATCAGCCAATCAGAGGAACAGTTGGACACGACGTGATCCTGCCGTGCTACGTGGAGCCCCCCTTTAATGTGACACGTCGAACAGTGGATTGGAAATTCGGTTCAAAATTCGTGTACGTTTACCGACACAACGGGCACGATCCCGATCATCAGCACGCGGACTTCAAAAACAGGACGTATGTCGATGAAGATGAAATGAGCAAAGGAAACCTTTCACTGAGAATCTTCCCACTGAAAAAAACAGATGCAGGCAACTACACGTGCAGCGTTCCCGAACAGAGCGGCAAGGTCATGAAAGTTAACACTGAGCTTATCGTAGGTAAGTGCAGCTGTTCTGTTTTTTTAAATCGAAACAGATCAGAATGTGGTTTATAAAATGTTCCCCATTTTTGGTCTTTTTTATTTTTCAGCAGAGGACAAAATGCCAAACAAGACAGTTTCTTCCAGTAAGTAAACACCTTGAGTCTTTTTGTATTGTACTAATCATCAGTTCAGTTCACTCCCCTTCGTCAGAACTGATTCCATGTTTTTTTGGGGTAATTAATCACCTCTTTCATTTTTCCAACAGCGCCTGCTATAGATACAGATTTCAGTGTGGAAATATTTTTCTCCCCTTTAAAAAAACTACCTTAGCTATATATTACAAATACAGGATGCATAAGGAAAATATGAAAACATTTGTTGTTGCATAAGGTAATGGATGATTGATTTTATTTTGGAGGTCCACAGTACAGCACAAACCTTGACTTCTTTCTACATTCGTTCAGGTCTTGGCATTGGCACTGGCATTGGCATGGTCTCTCTCATCATGATCATGGTGATTATATGGAATTCATAAATGTAAGCTTCCTGTTTTTCCTCATTGTAAATTTACATTTACAAGTTGTTTTTATGGTCATAAATTTTCTTTACACTACAGTTTTAAAATCCATTCCACATCTCCGTAAATAGAGATATTATAGTTCTATAAAGTGCAATCTAGCTTCAGCCTGTCATCCGTGTGCAAGCAACCGAAATAATAAACTCAGTGATTGGATGTATTCTTATTTATTTCTGCTTCTAAATCCCGGGTGGTTTAGTTGACGAGTTAAAGGAAGTTAACGAGACTTACATTGGCCAAACCATCTTGTTCCTCATCCTTGACGTCTTTCCTCTTGTGGGAGATTTGTTCACCCCACACTGTACATGGCAGTTTGATTATTTCCCCTTGAATATTGAAACCAACCAGTACCCTATAGAGCAGAAATTATTTGTCACAGAAATTCAGCCTCTCAATATTTGCTATTTTCCTTAATTTTTCCCATGATAAACTTTTCTATTTTTGACAGCCTTCCCAAAAAAACCCAAGAAATTAGTTGTTAACTTGTGCTTCAAATGGCTGTTCTCACTATTTTCTGCCATTTTATACAATGAACAATCTACTGATTATTAAAGAAAGTGATTGCAGACCTAAGTGATAATAAAAAATAATGTACGTTGTTCAAGAGAGGAGACTTTAAGGATCAGGACCAAGTAGCTAGTTCGGTAAATGTACATCTGGTTAACCGCCCCACCTCCATTAAAGAGCAGCACCCAGCTGCATCCCTCAGGTTTTCGACGGGATGAAACAGTCCTAAAGAAATAATGTGTATACACAGGTTTACTTTATGTCATAGCTCAACACTGGAAAGCAGATATCAGTCCTTCCACTTCACTTAAATATTATTGATCCCCGTTACCTACAGCGGTGAAGCAACAGAAATCCCTCACATGAATTGTTTTGGCAGAAACTGACAAATGACTTGTTTTGTTGTTCAGGTAACAGGAGAAGATCAGAGAATTCTATGGAAATGAAGAGACCTGAATAATGATAATAATGAACAATACTTGAAAGAAGCTGTAAAACATGAATGATCAGGTACTGTTCTTGAAACACGAGTTATAACACTCAACGGTTTTACAATGTGCCTCTTTTATAAAATTGATTACATTTATGTTTCAATAAAGGTTTTAAGTTTTGCTATTGCTACATAGCTAATGCTAGCATTAACAGCTGTTTACTTACCAGTCTAGAAGAAACAATGCAAGTTCAACATCAAACTACAATCCTTTACTCACCAACAGCTGTCTCCAGAGGCGGAAAGAAACACCAATGTTAACTCTAGTCTCTATCACATCTTTTCTTCTACTGAAGTTAACACACTAACCAGGTAGCTCACTTTCTGATACCGAGTCACTGTCTGCTCTGAAGACGTATCGCTGCTCGGAAGACGACTATAACCTCTTGTATTATAAACACCACGATGCCTGAAGCTCTTAGTGAGACTCAACAGTTGTTAATGCTAACGTTGGACTAGCTCCTTTAAACCTGTGTATGTAAATATTTTCAGATAATTGTGTTTGACATATGTTTTGAATATTTTTGTAATTGTCGTCTGGTGCTAAGACTTTAAATATATATAGTATATATATATATATTTTTTTTTTAAAGATAACTATTTGTGTAGCACATTTCACATAAATGCTAACTAAAGACTGATACTATATGATGACAAAAGTTTATAATGTGGTGAAAAAGGAAATAATTCAATTTATAGTAAGTAAAGTTTACTTGTATAGCACATTTCACAGATACAAAATCACAAAGTGCTTACATCAGTAAAAAAAGTACAAAAGTTTGAGACACAGACATTTTAGCATAATATGAAACACTTAATGCACATTTTTATAAAGCATAGCGTGTAAATATTTCATAGAAACTGGAAGGCGACTTAAAAGAATAAAATGTACCTCTCTACCATAAGTACTGACCGTCTAAAATGTGTACCATCTTTTTACAATAAAGGTTATGCACTGCAATCATTTATATCGCAATGCAATGTTTCTTTCATGTAAATTAATCTGTATAAAAGGTACAGCAAAAAAAATAATTTTCAAGTTTGCAGAGTGTAAAGAAGCTTTTAAATTTCTACACCGGTATTTCACAGGATGTGTTGCATTTTTCAAATGTGCAGAAATAAACAGTTCAGTACACAGAGAAACGTTTTGTTGTTAGGCGACATCTAGTGGCCGTAGTGATTATAACAGGAGTAAAGGGAATAGTGCAGTGACATAGTTTAAAAGAGCAACAAAGTCCACGTTGGGAGGTGTGGATGGATGGCTCAGCAAAACGCTGGAATATGACACAGGAGAGCGGTGTTTGATTCCCGTGTCTATTATCCATGATCGTTCGACAAAGTTAACCAAATTGTTAGTACTGTAACCATGACAACAAAGATTGCCTAACGTTGGCAAAGTACTCACTTTAACCCAAATCACGATCTTTTCCGAAACCTAAAACCCAAAGCCCTGACCCTGATTTTAGTTACTGTTGTCTATGTTTACCAATGGCAGCGAGTCTTCAGGTAAATCTGACAGGAAACGGTTGTGGTAAGATGGTGAGATGGTGTATCTACGTTGGAGCTTGCCGCCCTTTGGATGAGGCCGAGACTCAGACAAGCTCTTCGAACGGGCAAGAGACTGATCTTCTGAAGTGGAAGCTGAATAAACACTGGACGTAGCGCCATTACTTTCTGGAAGAGCAGGATTGCTGTTGTTATTACTGCCCAGTCTGTTGACTGGGGGGTAAAATGGTGGACTTTGTCTGGAGACGGCGGGTTTTGAATCTTTCTTCTGGGTTGAGTTGTCAGATCTTGGATGGTTGTTATTGGATGAGGCCGCCGGATTTGAACTGTTGCCGTGAGGAAACTGGTGTGGATGTAGGTCAGAGGGATTTGAGATGTCTGGTGAGGATTCGGAAGGACCATTGTCAATCATAAGCTTTGATCTCAGGTCATTCCGTTCTGCAGTTAGCTGTTTAATGTACTCCTCTTTGTCACGAAGGTTTGACTCCAGCTCCTCAATTTTTCTGAGGTGTTCAGCGATGGCATTTTCAGTGCTGTCAGCCTGGTTTCCCGGATCGTTAACTCCTGCATTCCTGCCTGTTCCTTTCCTGCCTGAACAGAAAAATAATATCAGTTCTATAGTTCTTACTATAAATTCTGCAACAGAATAAATTTAAGAATATGTCATAATATGTTGTCTTTGTTTACTGTTCCTGCTGTCTGCTGTTAAACTTGATACTTCCTGTTTCTAGTTCACATTAAAGTATTTGGCTAAAAATGTTGGTATTGATTTTTGGGATTTAGTGACAGCAGACAAAAACCAAGTTTCCATCTGCTGCACAGGTAAAAGTGTGTCTGACTTACCACAGCTGCCACACTTTTTGCGTAAATGTGGCGCTGACACACACGAGATCAATACAGATAAAATTACAGCCACTACAACAGCGGCCCAGGCCATAGAACAGGAACTCGTCGCTGAAATGATAACACATGATTACATAAGAACATTATATGTGATTTCAGAAATCAAACACAAAACTTAATTTCATTTCACCCAGAATAATCTCAGAGAGGGTTAAAGCATGAATGTGACTTTAGGATCAAGTGAACCCAGTTGATGCAGGTGGATTGTTAAAGCTCCAGTGTACCTGGTATGGGAATCCTTGTCTCTCTGGTCTGGTCGGTCTGAGGCTGGTGAACTCTGCAGGTGACACTGTGACAAACACATAGAGTCGTAGTTTAGTTTAGTTTAGTTTAGTTTAGTTTAGTTTAGGTCAGTGGTCGTGAAGGTGTTGCAAGTGGG